GAAAATACAGATTAAGAAAATTTTAATTTTAATAAATATTGATGACAACTAGAAGTAGAGATATGATATGATGAGTAATATTTAAATTTATTTTAAAAAAACTTTTCAAATATATAATCCTAAATTTGCTTGATAGATATTATCACTTAAAAACTGATATAAATATTGTTATATGAAAATTAATATGTTATTCAAATAAGTCAACTCTTTTTCAACTCAAACTCACAAAAGTCTAAAAGGATATTTCGTATGTTGTTCTTTTGTGTTACTGTATATAGTCACCGTATAGCTTTGCGCACATACGAATTACTAATGTATCCAACCGATTTACACTCTAATTTTGCTGAAATATAATTTTGCAAATGCCACAGAAATGTTTCAGTGACATTACTGAATTACTGAATATTACAAACAATTTCCAAACACGTATACGCAAAATACGCAAGTGGGGCTTGTGAATATGAAAAAATCCACAAATTGAAAAAGATATCATCACAAAACACTTGAGAAGTTGAAGTTGCGGGGAACCGAAAGCCACACACGTTCCTTGTACTGTAAAGCGTTACGTAAATAATTAATTACAATTTTCCACTTCTATAATTTCTAATATTTTACAAAATTTTGACTTCGCTTCCTTTTTGGAATTTTTTACTTTTATTTAAATATTTACTTTGTGTTAAGTACTTCACTTTGACAGTGCATATGTGTTGGAGGAGTTTACTTAAGCAATTTATGCTGATTAAAACATTACTTAGATACAGGGTTGTATGATAATATCTTACATTTTTACCCTTATTATATTATTAAAGCTTTGACGTGACATCGCCCAGCAACCGGTACTATTTCCAGAAAAGTCCTATTGTGTCAATTTCACTATATATCACACAAAGCCCTTTAAAGCTTTGTGAATAAATTCCAGAACTAAATCTAGAGAAGACCTATTAACCTGTTCTGGTGACAGAAATTCCATATGAAACAAGTTTCTTCTATGCGTTATTAAAGCTGGACTGTCATAAAGAATATGCATAGTAGTTTCATCATCTTCGAGACATAATCCGTATTCCGAATTAGCAGTTAATCGTAGTTTATGAAGATGATATTTCGGACCATAATGACTTTTAATGAAACCTGTTATCAACCTTGAATTACATTTTGAGAATTTAAGAATGTTTTTGTAGGAGTACTGTTTTTTCAGTGTTTTGCTTTAACTAAGTCCTGGGAAGTCTTCCCAGTACATTTTTACTTAATTATGATAACATAATTTCAATCGCGTATATTTGTTTTAAATTATGTATTCATTAGTTTTTTTCTTTTTTTTTTACAGAGTCATATTTATTTACTTTAATTGAAGTATAAAATTTATTGACTCAGGTAATTGGAACTACTATGTGCTAATAAGAGTATGGCTTTTAAGCTCCAAATAAATTTTAAAAATCTTAACTCTTATTTAATAAGAATAATTAGTATAAAAATTATAATGAGTTTTCATCCAATAAATAATTGCAAAAAAAGAGACGAAACAAAAATATATATTTTTTTGTCACTATTCGATTTGATATGTTTCTATTGGATTACTAATTATGCAAATATGCAGTTGAAGTTGAAATAGGAATTAGTAGCCACCAAACCGAGAGGTGTTGTCCCACTTTTAGATTCCTTAGGTTCAGTATCGCATGATTCCAATGGGTCAATATGTCAAACAAAGAGATGGATAGTTACATACGACAATGGATAGTTACTAAAAACAAGCTCAAAACCAGTTTTATGATCTCTAAGATAATAGACAATAATTTTTCTGCAAAGAATGCATCATTAAATCTTTGTTAGCAGATTTCGATACGCCGATCTTCGTGGATGGTTGCAAACATTTTCTATAATAACCGCCTCTATGATCTCTAAGATACTAGACAATTATAAACAATTTTATTGTAAAGAATGGATCATTAGATTTTTATTAGCTGATTTCGATACGCCAGTCTTCGTGGATGGTTGCTAAGTAAATTTTACTGTTGACGGAAATATATTTATATTTAAAGACATTATATATAGAATTGTAAGTTTTTTTATAACTGTAATTTGAAAAACATGTATAATATTAACCGTGAATTATATATTTTACATGAAAAATTTTTAAATTATGAACTTACATTTATCTATAGATTTAAAATTATTGCAACAGAAGTACTGGATGTTATTTTAATCACAACTTATTGCTGTTAAACAAACAAGGAAGGAATGAATCTTGACTGAGTGTACTTAATGTTTCCTTCTGACCTATAATATCGTCTGCTACAATATTTACTATTACAGTTAAAAAAAAAAAAGGAAAAATTATTTTTATTTTTTTATGTTACTCGTACTTTATTATTATTAATTATTTATTTCTATTTGAGCCAGTGCACTTGAGCACTTTTACTCTTTCTTAACTCGATGTATTTTTAAAACTCCTCTTTACGCCTTGACTGGATTATGGTTTATCACTTCATTAGACTAAACAATAATTGACCTCAGATCTGCATACCTCCCCGAGGAGCCTGTAACCATTCTGTGATTTGTTAATGCGGTGTTGGCAAGTCTGTCAGTTTTCGCAAATAATTTCAGGGCTCTATCGTACTTTATTATTTATTCTATACATCGACAAAATATTCAATATTGAAGCGTGTCATATAAACAAAAAAAAATTGTGATAAAAATTTATAATAAAATTGTTTAATATGTAAAACCTTGTCTCCAAATGGTTCAATATTTTTATCCCAAAATGAAGCAATCCCACAAACCCTTCAGTTTTAATTACCCTGTAAACTTCTTTGATTACATTTGAGAAAGAATAATATATTTATTCAGCCAGAGAGTGATAATACTTTATTCCACATTTCAGCATACATACCGCATATCGCATATCGCATATGTTTTTTAAGGATAATGATTTTACTATGTACATGTGTCAGAGTCCTTCAGAATCCTGTTAGGGTTAGGGTTAACATAAAAATTGTGTAAGATAATTTTGTTGTAGATGTTTTTGACTTATGGTTGAAAAAAATATACACATGAAAAAAAGTTAAAAAAATAAAGCTAACAAGAAATAGATTTGCATGTTGTTAAGGGCTAAAAAATCGGACTGAAGGTTGAAGTACCAAACAGCCGTTTGCGATGTGTGTTTTTTCTACGAGTATGGACATTTACATATAAATATGTTTGAATATTTTTGTTTGTAATCCTGGTTGTTCACTTCTTGTATTTGAATTTTTAATGGAAAATAAATGTTGTCAACGTGAGGAAGGAGCAAAGTGGCAACGCTCCTTCCTACCAACAGCGCAATTCCATCAACAAAGTGGCAAACTTTAAATTTTGCCTGAGTGACGTAGGAATATTCAGATTCAAATTGCACGTACATACAAACCAACACGTAAACATATATTTACATGCTTATATAATATTACATGTGATATTTGTAGTATTTTGTGGAAAAAGCAAATTTCTGTAAATTTCTGTAAATTAAATTTACATATGAAACGAATCTGCTGCTTTGGCTACACTTTGCCGCGCTCACATTTCTCCAAATAACTACGCTTCTGAAATCCAAATTTACATATGCATATGCATTAATGCAAATGGTGCATGTATTTGTTGTAAATAAGTAACTTTCTCCCCTTGCCGCCCTGACTGGTAATATTCTGAATGTCGTTAGATACTGAAACGTACACTTTGCGCAAATGAAATATTTATTAAATTAACTAAACTATTTAACTAAACAAGTTTGTTTGAAAATTTTGTTTACTTTCAGAAAAAAATGTATTCAATTATTTTCTTAATTAGTTGGAGCAGTAAAGGTAAGGTAAAATGTAGTAAAGGCAACTACTCCAAACATTTCAAATCAGAACATGTACATAGCTGTACGCATATAGTTTATAGAATACTAAAAATTCTCATTCCTGATAGAAATTCTTTAGAACGTGTATTTTAATATCCAAACTTTATCATGACTGTCTCAAGTAGCAAAGATTATTGGAACAATACCCTAAACCATTGGTATATGATAGATGGATAGTGGACAGGTTTGTAGCTCAGTCCCATTAGAATAAAAAAATTGAAAATTCCGCTACAAAACTGCAGTCGCTATGAAAGGATTCGTTAAGAAGTAATTCGCAGCCGTGCGAATAAGATAAGGTTAGGTTGTACCGGCATTTTAAAGAAATCTCCTAAAGCCTATAGGCCTATTATGTAAAGAAAAAATAAGAAATTTAAAACTACCTTGAAGCTTTGGCAAAGCTTCCTGCTTTGTCAAAGTTGACAAAGCAGGAACCTATTTAAGAGAAAGTCTAACAGTTGATGAAGATCCTCAAAAAGATGGTCTCTTAATTAGTAAGGCAGCGACGCGCATGTGTACAACAAAAACAAATCAGATGACACTTTTATCATCCTCAAAGACAGATTCAATCTTTCAGTATGATCAGCTAATCTACAATGAGGTGTAAGTAAACCAATCACATGACTTATTATACCTATCACGTGTATCCTACTGAGATCATTGGATTTCCATTTAATGGTTGACGTTTCCCATCTTTTATTAAAAAGTTCAGCACAGAAAGAACTTAGTAGTAATTTACATGATATTAGCAACATGCCCAAATTGTTTAGGTGTTCCGAGTGATTTCCTGATGGCTGTAAGCGACATGGAATACGATAAACCCGTTTTATTTATTTTTCTTTTCTTTTCTAAAAAACAAAAGCATCCTATCCTTTTTCAGACACACACTGCTTCTTACTTTATATCCCAGAATCATAGAATCTATTCATTCCAGCACGTTCCCAGGGGAACATTGGGCATATGGTTACAGTTGTACCTATCCTATTAATTCTGTTTGAACGTAAGTTTCGCATCTCCAAATTCATTGTGTGCTGCCGAAGCAGGTGGATTCGCCGCAACAGTACGGGTACCACTTGGAGACTGTAATATTATCGGGTTTTGACTCATATTTTATATCCAGAAAAAAGAAAAAATGAAAGGGAGCAAAGCCCTGACTTTGGGTTACAAGCGCAATATTAGTCCTGTAAGTTTTGCACGTAGTGACAGATTACATTTAAATAGGCCACACCTAACCTAGAGAACAGACGCCTTTTACAGCCGCTCAATATGAGTACCGACACTACGTTGTATACTGAGCTTAGCTTCATTACTCCTCATTCGACCTTACCGATAAGGGCGGCCCTACCAGTAGCAAGCTACCGCCGGCATCGCTTCGTAACTATTGAGCCTCCTCACCACATCAAGGTGGCAATCCCCGAGGAGGCAAAGAATCTATACTTAATTGATTCAGCTTTTGTGTATATTACTTGTATGAGAAAATTTTCATTTGAAATATGGAGCCATCGTGAACAGCGATTCTGGGTATTTAGTCAGTAACTCAACTCTGAGAAAACGATGTTTAAGGCAATCTTGTGCCAAAAACTATATGTTTGAGCAGATCAAAAATTCAATTTTGCTCAAAATAATTAATGAATTTTGAACTAACAATGCCTTTAATCGATTGTTTCGTAAAATTATATCTATAATTTGTTTTAAAATTATGAAACAACATTTTTTTCAATTATATTATATAGCTTTATTGTTGTATTTATCATTATTTCTATGTAAATTACAAAATCTTTTAGTATAAATTACAAGCTTTGAACTTATTCTTTCAGGTAAAATTGTATCTTATTTTATTTAATTTTCTTTATAAAAATTTTAAAAAATAAAATATCAAGTATATTATTTTAACATAAAGGTAAACCATACAAAATAACAAAATTGTCTTCAAAATAATGATTTAGAAAGGAAAATGAAATTTTTTCTTTTATATCCAAAACACTCATAAGAGTAAATTGAATTTAACTTCAACCTAAGCATCAGGGGAAGAGTAGAATTATTTTCGTCAAACATCAATTTCACATATACGGGCAGATACTATATAATACTGAGGTAAGATAAATTAGATAGAAAAGCTCGTGTACATATGAATTTGACTTAAATGAAGTAAAACAAGTATATTGTTCTAATATGAGGAAACATACTATGATGTCTTAGGTTTATGTAAATTATACTTAACATCAAATATTCACTTATAAATATTGCAATATATTTGCCCTCATCTTATGAAGTGGTTGGTTGGTTGCTTGGTTGGTATGAAATATAATTTTACAGTGTAATAAAATATGGTTTAAAAAAATACCGAGTAATTTACGGAATGAATACATTTCGCAATTAAAATTTATATTAAGATGCAATACATTTTTGGACCAGTTTTCGATTTCAGCTGTTAAAGTCTAACCGTGCGTAATCAATTTTTATATTATATAAAAATTACATTGAGTAAAAATATAAGTTTATATTTTTATAAAGTTAAGTTTATATATTTGCAAATATAAAGATAAACAATTTTCATATAATTTAAGAAAATTAATTATTTTTAAGAAA